TTGGGGGTTCCACCAGACTCCATCCGACCAGTAATTCTGGTCATTACTATGTTTTTGAATTTTGTTCCACATTTTTCCTCCCACTCTATCCAGAATCTCGTTTTGATCCCTTCCCAATGGTTGGCATTGGCAGCCGGGCACCATCTAGTTCTTCTGGTCTCAAGGTCCATCATATCCTTGGACTAATTGTTTTCAAATGCCCTTGATTTTCTTCACTCTTCTTCACTTCAGACAAGAGGAGACCATTAGCTTATACAAGATTCTTTACACAGTCACTGCTTTTCAAAAATTCTTTCAGTTCTCCACACTGGAAACCATTGAGTCTCAATAAAAATTAAGGTTTTCTCCTCATCCCATAGCAATTCCATCAATAGGAGAGGAGAAAGAAGGCAGTCACCCATTAACCAAGCTTGTATTTTTCACTCTCAGGCTGCATCTGCTAGACCACCTGGGAACGAGGCTGGAGATAACACCCTTTGGAGAAGTTTCCATTCCTTTCTTTCCCACTATCCTTATTGCCTACTCCACCATTTAGTCCAGAAGATTCTGATAATTATTCAGTGATTCTTAGCTGACATACAGCTTCACTTATTTTCTCAGGTGTTCATATTACAATGTGAGAACATGCATAACCTTTAACACTTCATGTAACTATCTCTTATACTTTAAATGAAGAGGGTGGTTCTCCGACTTCATATCTGCCTTACCTTTTTGATCTCAGAATTATTTCTAATAGCTTCTCTTTCTAAGAAATGTGATAATATAAAAATGAATAATACTTTCACCTTAAATTAGCAAATACCATTGCTTTAAAAGAGTTGGAACTGAAATTGTTTCTAAGTCGTCTTAAAATCATAAAGTAAAACCATTCAACTAGTTTGATTCAGCTAAAATGTTGCTACTTCTCCTTTAAGAAAGGAAAAAAGTTAATAATCAACTGAAAATTAACTATCAAAACTTTTCACAAATATATGTATTCTTCAGAGAAGTTAAAATAAAATTTTTAACAAAATGCTTTTGGACTAGGAACTTAGCTTTTTTTCTTACATGTACCTTCTTCAAAATATAGTGGAGACAAAACAATTTGATTAATTAAGTTTATTGAGAAGACACAGAAGCCCCTATAAAGGTACTCCTAGAGAACTTGTAGAGTTTATGTTGGTTGGTGTGGCTTTGAACTGGAGAGAGACTGGGGTGAAGAGAGGTAAGGGGGCCATGTCAGGCACAGCCTGCCTGCCTTCACTGCCAGCCTTAGACTTCAGGATAAAATGAACACAATGGGCTGTCCCACATGATTGGCCTCCCAATGGGGTGCTTTATGAGTTGGTTCCCCTTTTTTGTTTTTATTGTAGTAAAAAATATGTAATACAAAATTTGTCACATTAACCATTTTAAGTATACAGTTCAATGGCATTAATTACATTCACAATGTTGTTTAGCCTATACCAGTATCTACTTCCAAAACTTTTTCATCACACCAAATAGAAACACTATACCATTCAGCTATAACTCCTCATCTTCTAAACCAAACTCACTGTCATCAAGTCAATTCAACTCGCAGCAACCCCTCCTTGGGTTTCTGAAGTGGTATCTCTACAGAAATAGATTGCCCAATCTTCCTTCCGAGGAGTGGCTGGTGGGTTTGAACTGCCACCCTTCTCGTTAGTAGTCAAATGCCTTACCACCTCTATTTTCTGTCTTGATGCATTTGTCTATTCTCGATATTTCATGTAAGTGGTATCATAAAATTTTTCCTGTTGTATCTGGCTTATTTCACTTACCACATGGTTTCATCCATTTTGTGGCATGTATTGGAATTTCATTCCTTCTTATGACTAAATAATATTCCATTGTATGTATGTACCACATTTAATTTATCCATTCATTTGTTGATGAAGACTTGGTTGTTTTTACCTTTTGGCTATGAATAATGTTGCTATGAATGTTCATGTAGAAGTATCTGTTGGAGTCCCTGTTTTCACTTGTGGGTTGCTTCCCTTTTAAAGCACCAGTTGGCTAAGAAATTGTCCCCTCCCCCCGCCAAATCTGGACTGAGGAAGGAGAAAATCTGAATGAACTAGTTGCTTACCAGCTGCAACTCCCAAGTCTGTGGGGACTTACGAGAAGCATGTATGATTTCACAAGAAAGTATTGTTTCTCAACTTTTAAAGAGCATCATTTTATAATTCATTGAGGTTCACAGGACTCCCTAACCCCACCCCCTCCAAAAAAATGCAAACAAAAAGACACCATACACCAAAATTGAACCCATTGCCGTTTGAGTCAGTTCTGACTCATGGCAACTCTGGTCAAATATATATTAATAAAGGGAACTAAAACTTTAGATTCTTATTTGAACAACATTACATGAATGCAAGATTTCTGTTGTATTTTAGAGCTGAACTGGCAAAACTAGTATCCCAGTTATTTCTTTATTTGTTACTTTGCTTCTTGGATGGGATACCAGATTTGGGAAGCATCTACAAAAAAGATTGAAGATCCATGGTTTTCTTTCATCTACCAGACATTTTTTAAGTGCTGATTTTGTGGTCAGAATGGGTGATAAAACCACCTTGCTTTGACCACTTTCTGTGAATCTAGGGGAGGTTTCTCTTCTTGCATTGTCAACTGGCTTAGCACCGTTATTTTCAAGAAGACTTCCCCACAACTGTTCCCAGTCTGGGGAAGGCTCACCCTTCAACTTTCAGCTCTAATTTGCAAGCAAGTTTATGTTTACTTGTTAAATTTCCCTTAACAATACTTTTGGGAAAAGATCCTCTCTGCATCTACACTCTTTTCTGAGAATGTAAGACAACTCATTTAAAGAGAGCCATCACCTGATTTATAAAGCCTTAGTAATGTTAGGAGCTCTGGTGGCATGGTGATTAAAGCATTTAGCTGCTAACCAAAAGGTCAGCAGTTCTAAACCCACCAGCTGCTCTGCGGAGGGAAGATGGGATGATCTACCCCCGTAGGGGTCACTGTGAGTAGGATCTGACTTGATGGCAGTGAGTGAGTTGTTTTTTTTAGTAATGTTTGCACAGTGTTTGATTTAGAATACAGGCATTCCCTCATTTTATTGTGCTTCAATTTATTGCACTTTGCAAATACTGTTTTTTTTTTTTTTAACAAACTGAAGGTTTGTGGCCACCCTGTGTTGAGCAAGTCTATTGGCGCCATTTTTCCAATAGCATCTGCTTACTTCATGTCTCTTTGTCACATTGTCACATTTTGGTTATTCTCACAATATTTGAAACTTTTTCATACTGCTATTGCATGCACACTTAATAGGCTACAGTTTAATCATTGGGAAACTAAAAAATTCGTGCAACCCACTTTATTACACTATTTGCTTTATTTATGATGGTCTAGAACGGAGGCCACAATGTCTCTGAGGTATGCCTGTATTGCTTGAAAAACATAAAGAAATTGTGGTACATCCATACAATGCAGTACTACTTAGCACTAACAAGGAATTGCCAATACAGGCAATACCATGAGTGCATCTTAAAAGCATTTTGCTAAGTGAAAGGAAAACCGGTTGCCATGTAATGGATTACAACTCATGGCAACCCCATGTGTGTCAGAGTAGAACTGTGCTCTATAGTTTTCAATGGCTGATTTTTCAGAAGTAGATTGCCAGGTCTTTCTTGTGAGGTGCCTGTGGATGGATTCCAACCTTCAGCTTTTCAGTTAGCAGTCAAGCTCATGGACTTTTGATCACCAACCTGAAAGTGGAGACTGGACTCATGTTATCTCTGCCTCTTGCTATCCTTCTGGCCTTGGGCAAATCACCACTTTGCCTGTTCCCATGATTCATTTACCAAAATAACAGAGATAATGAATCCAATGATCTCTTTCTCGTTCCCTCTAGCTGCAATTCTGAATCTTTATGAATCAGTGGGGGAAAAGTACAATGTTAATGAAACCAAACCAAACCCATTGTCCCCAACTCATGGGGATCCCATGTGTTACAGACTAGAACTGCTACATAGCATTTCTTTGGCTGTAATCTTTACAGATGCAGATCATCAGGCTGTTTTTTTTTTTTTAATCCCTGAGCTATCACTGGGTAGGTTCAATCTTCCAATGTTTAGGTTAACACTTGAATGTAAACTGTTTCTGCCACCCAGGCTCCTACAATGTTAATAGCCCTTTAATCTTAAAGAGAAAAGGATACCTGCTTTTGAGAATGAGTTTCTGACATAAGCCTTAGGGTGCAATGGTACTTGGCTGCTAACTGAAAGGTTGGTGGTTCAAACACACCCAGTGGCTCCAATGGGATAAAGACCTGGCAATCTGCTCCCTTAAAGATTACAGCCTAGAAAACCCTGTCAGGCAGCTCTATTCTGTCACATGGGGTACTAGAAGTCGAAAATTGACTTGATGACACCTAATAATAACAACCAAAAAAAAAAAAACAGCTCACTGCCATCAAGTTGATTTTGACTTGTAGCAATCCCCATTGGATTTCCGAGGTGGTAAATCCTTACAGATAGCCCAGTCTTCCTTCCATGGAGTGGTGGGTAGGTTTGAACTGCCAACATTTTGGTTAGCAGTCAAATGCCTTAGACACTGTACCACCAGAGCTTCTTAACAATAACAAACCAAACTCACTGCTGTCAAGTCAGATCCGATTCACAGCGACCCCTCCTTGTGTTTCCGAGGCAATACCACTATGGAAGTAGATTGCCCAACCTTCCTTCCAAGGAATTGCTGGTGGGTTTGAACCACCAGCCTTCTGGTTAGCAGTCAAATGCCTTAGGCAGTACGCCACCAGAACTCCCTAACAATAACCAGGGGAAGCCAAATTCTAATAGCCCCACAGAGTGGTGGGAACTCAAGGAAAAAAGGACAAGATGAGAAACTTCTGCTCACCCAGAACATTAAAAATAATAATAAAAAGAAAAAAAAAAAAAAAGAAAGAAATGGAGGTGGGAACAGATTAAAAGGCCTTAAAAAAATTAGAGTCTATCTTACCAGAATTTCTTTCACTTCAGAATGAAGGAACAGTTGAAAGCAGTCAAGACTTGGAGAACCCTGAACTGGAACAGCTTGACAGTCTTGAAAATCTTTCCCCCAGCAGGTAAGACAGCAGAATCCATTTGTAGGAGTCATTTTTATCTCCTTGGGAGTGGGAGGTAGGGGGTCATCTGTTTTATATCACATTGCTTTCCTAGATAAAAATCACACACTGATTCTAATACTAATCTTCATTTGTATCTTAAATCTGAGAACAAAACTCATGAATCTCACAAAAGCAACAAGCAAAAGAGCTAAAAGCAACCATCTTATAAACCAAGCTTCTAAGGATACCTGTTGCCAATTCCAACTCACAGTGACCCTACAGAACAAAACAGAATGGCCCCATGTGGTTTCCAGGGCTGTAATCTTTACAGCGGCAGGCTGCCACATCTTTCTCCTGCAGAGTGCCTGGTGGATTCAAACTGCCAGCCTTTGGGTTAGCAGCTGATCACTTAAGCACACCACCAGGGTTCCCCTTTTAAGGATAACTAGTTGCTTTGATTACCTAGTGCTGCTCTAACAGAAATATACCACAAATGGGATAGCTCGAACAAACAGGAGTTTATTCTCTTACAGTTTGGAGGCTTTAATTCTGAGTTCAAAGTGCCAGGCTCTTGGGGCTGGGTGAAAGACCCTCAACCTCGGGCTTCAACTCTGTCTCCTGCTCCTGGCCCACTGAAGCTGGAGGCTTTTCTTCACTCAGAAAGCTACTGGCTGCTGAGGCTGACGAACCCAAGGTTGACAAGTAAAAAGGCACAGTCCCAATGTTACCAAACAACATGGTAGGCCACTAACTTAAGACCGGGAGAAGTCCCAAAATTGGCAGGTCATGGCAGGCTATTGAATAACAACTTGGCTACGTGCAGAGTTCAAGCATGCCAAAAAGCTGAAGACCCTCCTCAAAGCTGCTTCTTATATACGGGAAGCAACCCACATCCCTAAAGCAGCTACCCAGCTGCTCCAGTAGATTCCACCATGGAGTTAATTACCAATCTCACCATGGGGAATAACTACATCTAGCTGCCCAGACACTCAACCAGGCCCAGCCAAGCTGACAAAACCTTAACTACCACACTGATAGTTAAAAAAAAAAAAAAGAAAAAGAAAGACTATCAAAAAAATAGTAAGGGTAAATTAACTTTAATATTGATTGAATTATGGGTTTAAGAGCACTTAAAGGCTATTGGTTCCCAAAAGACATACTTTATACAAATCTAATGCTATTTTTAGTGTGCATGCATGTGAATGCTATGTAGTTCAAATTTGAAGTCTGAATTAAGAAGGTAAAAAACCAGAAGAATGAGGAGATAATTATTATTATTTTTGTATCTTCTTTGTACTCACAGTCCATTATTACTGCTATTCCAGCACCATCACATTGTCTGTACCCACATTTAACCTGTGAGCTGCTTTTGTCCCCAGCTTCTATCATAATGCTTGGCTCTTAGCAGGCACTCAAAAACAATCAAACAAACAAAAAACAAACACATCTATAGAATGAATGAACAAACATCTTTAGGAACTTGCCCTTGACTAAAAGCCAGTATTAGTTTAAGCAGACTGCTTTATATTCTTTCACTTTAAGGTTTGCTCAAGAAAATGTATGTGGAGCTCTTACAGATTGAACGGTATTCTTGAGTTACAGTATATGACCCAATCCGGCATATCTGAAAGTGAGCTTGTGCTTAGAGAAGTTGTCTCTATGAAATACCATTGGTGATGTGTTCTGTTGTTTTCCTTAGTGAAAGTATCTTTTGGGATGTTTCCATTACTAAAACCCATGCCTACTTTTATCATTCTAAGTCTTAGTCAGGAGCTCTGGTGGTGTAGTGCCTAAGGTATTTTGACTGCTAACCAGAAGGCTGGTGGTTCAAACCCACCAGCCACTCGTTGGAAGGAAGACTGGGCAATCTACTTCTGTAGAGATACTGCCTTGGAAACCCAAGGAAGGCTTGATATGCATTGAATCATCAACTGGGTCCTTTAAGTCATTGATTAATGATTATATTAATTTACAGCAGAACATTACATCATACTGCTAATGAAACATGCAAAGGGGAAAAGTCATGGCATGAGACAAAAATATCTTTATGCTTCTTGGGAAAGAACTTTTAAGAAATGGCAAAATTAGCAAGGGGATTAAACAGGAGATAGGTGAATCTGTAACACTGCTGGTTCGTTTTCACCACTAGCTTTGAATAAACACCTGAAGACCACCAATTTTTGCTTTCACAGTTAATCTGTATTTCCTTATTAACTATATTTGAAAAAACGATTTGGAGTACTAAGTGATTACACTGTGCAGAGTCCCTACCTTCAGAGCTTACATTTTTGCAAGGTAAAAAACACAAGACAATTAGTAGGTAATATAATATATGTGATTAAGTATGTATTGTGCAGGAGGACAGGAGGATATGAACAATGAAGGAACAGGGTCACGGATGGATTCCCAAGAGTTCAGCAGGTATCCTTAACTTACTCAGTCTTCACAAAAACCCCATGAGGATTCCCACTCTTTAAGTGTAGACTGCACAGTGGCTTCCTTCCAAAGGGAACAGTATGGAAAAGGGGGAAGTGATTTCTCGTAAGCAGAGCAACCTGATAAACACTAGCCCTGCCAGATGATCAAGGTCAACATCAACAGTGATAAATCGCGTTAATAGTATGTACCGCTGATAAGATGTGATGAGAATTGTACTTCGCCTCCTTGGTTAAAAATAAAATAAAGATTTTATTTTAGGTATAGAATGTAGACAGTGTTCCCAGCAAGGGAAAGCAACTTACGCAGGTATGATATTTATGGTGGATAATAGTGATGCTGGGAAAAATAAAGCTACAGGGATTGAAGGAGGAAAGGAAGATTATGTAGGGTCTTGAAACCCAGGTAGAAGAATTTATAGATTTGATGCTGGAGGCAGTAAGAAGCCTTTGAGGTCTGGAGCAAAGCAGTAACCTACTGAAAGCTATGATTAGGACTCGTCTCCAGGCAGACTGCAAAAGTGATTAGAGGGAAGTCAAAGAGGCAGGTAACATTTCTCTCATTACTATAGAATGAACAGCATGGTATTTCAAGAGTTTTCTGGTCCCATTTGCATCACAGCTATGGTGTCCAATTAAGGTCCCCAAATATAGGCCAAGTTCATTAATTCTTCTGACTAATCATCATTTTAGTCCCAACTACAAACCCCAACCGTGCCTCACAAGTAAAAAAGTTCTACTACAACCAAATAATTCAGGTGAAGTTTTAAAATATAGAGAGATTGAACTACACTATAATCTATACTATACTAAGAAATGAGCAGCAATCAGGTGAAAAACGGATGACAGCAAACTATGTACAAATATACTGATGCACCAGACACTCCAAAGCAGACAGAAGACTATTCATGACTTTAAGAGACTGAGGCTAAATTTGAATCCACTTTTGGGCAGCTAATGATAGAAAATCGGACCTTTCCAAAGGGTGTACTGAGGTACTATGGCTACAGGTTCTTATTTCATCCTTTCCTGAACAACAAGCAGAGAACATTCCCCCACTTAGACATTCCAACACAAGTCATTTAACAAACAAAAGGCATTTTTAAGTGGCTCCACAATGCAGAAGGTACCATAATCCTCCATCCTGGGCACAGCAACAAGTCTGAACAGGAAAAGGACTAAGATCATAATAGTACATGCTTCTCTGACATTAAACAGAGAAAGGTGATTATATAAACACTGGGGTTCACACAAGAGTTTAAAAACCTTTGTGAAAATACACATCTGCTGACAATTTTTAAATTGTTTATTGGAAAGCATAGATTTATTTTTTAAATCCCACTAATTATTTTACCATACAAGAACAATCCAAATATAAATATTTAACTTTTTTTTTTTTGTATAAAATTAGTAGTAGGGAAGAAATATGCAAGTCAACCACAAGGTGAAAAGTTTTTAGCAATAACACTGAGTACATCCATCTTCTACACAAGTGACCATCAGGCTGATAGTGTGGGTTTGGGTTTTTTCCCCTTTATTGACATTTTTAAAAAGATAGTCCTGCATTGGAGCACCAAAAAGCTTTTTTTCTTTCTTTTTTAAAAGGTTAGAATCCTTTCATATTTACAAATACTTTCTGTTAATTAAGGAAGCATCCAGCAACCTCCTCTTTTTATAATAAAAGGAAGTGCCTTCACAGTTCCTCCAAATTTAAACCTGTTGCATCCTACTCTAAGCAAAAATAAAGAGTGAACACAGTTCAGAAGAACTCTTTCAGCAAATAAATAATTGTTTCACAAAAGTACTGCTGTAAACAAGATCATTTCCACATCTAGAGAGACACACTATATTTTCAACCAATGGCAAATTTAAACAGTTACAAATACACAGATACACAGGGTATATATATGGCCAAAAGACAAATGGCTCTTTAAGAATCAGCTAGCAACAATTCATTGTAAGTGTCTCTTTTCAAAATGTGCTTTGGTTCTCTACAGTTTTAAAAATGGGTCAGAAAAATTAAATTGTAATGATCAAATATCCCTGAACCTACTCTGAAAGTAACTACAACCTAGCATGTTTGATGCTATTATCTGAGCAATGTAAACTAAACAAAAGCAAACACACTGCTGTCCAGTCGGCCCCGACTCCTAGCGACCCCTCCTTGGGTTTCTGAGGCAGTATCACTTTGGAAGTAGATTGCCCAGCCTTCCTTCCGAGGAGTGACTGGTGGGTTTGACAAGGCTCAATTTCCAAAATAGAAAATAAATTAATAAAAAATGTCTGTAAACATGAAAAAGCTGCCTGCTAGATTATAAATATCATCATCCAGTTGTGTATTCTGAGAATTCTTTTGTTTTGGGTTTCAGACATCATCTTATTAAAGAGGCATCTTAGATTTTCTCAACAGGCCTCTCTGCAGCCAAAGGTTTTATACTCAGTTCAACTGCTTTTTGCTGCAGTCACTATTTTGGCTTTTGTCTAACCCCCTGACAATAGCCATCACCTAGTTCTTTGTACAGTGAGGGAAGGTTGTTTGCATCATGGCCACATGTTTATCCTGCTTTACAGAATACCTGTAACTGACTCTATTAGATTCGCAGCCACAACTCTCTGAGTACAAGGCCTACACAGCTTTACGAATGCTTTACATCTCATTCCCGTGACTTTTCTTACCGCTTTTCAGTCTGAAGTAATTAAAACATGAAGATCACCTATAAAGGTTACTTTAAGGAAAGAATAGATTTTTGTAAAGATACTTTGGCTTCGAATTGCTGAATACTCTCAATTAAAAAAAACCTGAACTTGGAACAAAGTACTATGGTTTGTGAGACTTCGCTGGGAAGAGGTGGGCTAATTTTAGTAAACATTACAATGATTTAGACACAAAAGAATTTTATAATTATGTAGAAAAATAAGCTTTTAATGTTCTCTTTCCCTTTGAAGCCTTTTCCATTACTGTACTCGTCTATGGAAACTACATTTAAATAATTACTTTACATACAGACCAATTTTGGATATTTAGAAACCAGTTGAAAATTCACTAAATTAAAATCAGCTTATTTGAATTAACTATCATTTCTCTCTAGGAAAGGATGTTATGGGTAGCAAACTGCCCATGTTCTGTGTTACTTTCTAATATTCAGAAAAAGTCACGTAAAGAACCACTTAGAGCGGAGTTAATGGCTATTCTCATATGTCACATTAAGCTTTGGAATAAAATACATAAACATATTTTCAATGACTCCAACACTATCTTGGTACAATAGCTAGACAGATATGACAATAAGGGACTTGGCCATTTGTAATGAAATGTATACACTTTTCTAAATCTCCTCTTAATAATAAGAGATTTTTTTACCAGATCCATGTACTTTCTTCTGTGCCAGCACTCCCTCTCCCTGCCACCTCTGCCAAATGCTCTTTAATAAAAAACTTGTATACCTGGTCCAACAAAATATTCAGTTCTTTGAAATGCTGTACTATACATTCACTTGGTATTTTCCAGAAGCAGTTATTCTAACACCACAAATACACTTTGGCATTGAGAACCTGAATTTCCCTTTATTTTTGTTTTCATTCAAAATATAAATCTTTTCTTAATGTAAATCCCCTGGAATGAATTTAGGCAATGAAGTAGGTAAGTTGTATTGATTAGCTTCTAGAATCAAAGAAACATTCTGATAGTCTAGGCTTTCAAAATATTTCTTTGTTTTTCATATTCATTTCACCTAGGGTACAGACAAACATTTAAAGGTTTTCATCCAGATTTGGCTCAGTGACTGTGAAAACAGACATATTCAAGTACCATTACACAAATGCAGCCCTACAAGGGTAAGTGTTCACATAGCTCAATTTGCAAAGGAGAGCTATCTTAATTAACCTACAATATATGCGACCAAAAAAACCTTTTGAAATTGTTTTCACTTTAGGATCTGTGGCCTCCTTCCAAAGGTTCTGAAGGTCTTGTACATGTCCATGGGATGTCATCATTTTATCATAGATGCAGGGATGATAAGGAGTTTTACCTTCTCCAGAAAAGAACACATGGTATTGTGGTACTATCCCCATTTTGTTGGCACAGATGCCCATGAACACATCATCTATGTAAAGACTAGAGTTAAGTGTCTGTGATGCCTCATAGACTTTGGCAGTTACATCATTGGAGATCAAATAGGCAGCACCAGCAGTATAGTCAGGGTACGCCGGCCACTGGTACATTTCATAAGAGACATAGTATTTGCTCTTTTTGTCTCGAATCGGAGGGGCACCACGATGAACATGACCAATCCAAAAATCTTCAACACCAATTTGTTCTAAACTTTGAAGGTACTCAACAAGATTTGGCATGTGAATAAATATGTCATCATCAGCAGTCATGAAGAATTTGGCATGTGGGCAAAATGTATTTGCCCAATTGAATTGCAGAAGTAATTTAAGAGTAAGATTGTAGAAAGAATCAGCAAAGTCTTGCTGAATTATATCATTGTACACTTTATCTTCCCAAACCAGTTTCCTTTGCAATTCTTCTCTCCTCAGTGGGTTAGAAGGAGTCCCTAAAGCAAACAGAGTTTTGACGTTGGCATTAAGCTGAGACCGAACATACTCCTCGTTGCCCCACGTTTTTCTAATTGCTGAACGACGTTCATAGTTTTCAGGAGCAGTCTTCACAAATAGCAGAAGGAGGACGTCTTGCGCTTGACACTTCTCCTCATGGTTAATCAAGTACTGGAAGCTAGGAACATCCTCCGAGCTGCGGTTAACAGAGAGGGTGTCACTCACGAAGTCGTAGCTGTTTATGAGGTATCTGTAAGAGTAGGACTTCATATGGCTCACAATGTGGTTATCAAACGGTCTCCAAAAAAACATGAGGCTTAGTATAAAACAAGTGGCAAAAAAACGAACACACTGCCATTTTCTGACCCTCCTGCTGCTAATAAACATCCTGAATCCCATGCAGGTCGACTTTTATTTAGGATCAGTCTTAACTGGGCACTTCCTTCTTCCAAACCATAGAACTGTGTATTCTTTAGAACAGATGTCCATCTTAATCCAAATCGATACTTAAAAATGAAAAAGGAGCTTCTTCTTTCACAAGTTATGGAACACCGTGTAGGATGAAGGCACTGGCATATCAAAGTCTCCCCACACCGGCATCCTTTGTTGAGTGCGGTGATCCACCTCATGCAGCTATCCCATGGACTTCCTTTTGTGAACTCTAAATGAGACCTACTGGAGTCAATAAAGAGAAAAGATGACAGCAAATGAGTTACTTAGTTAACAAAAAGAAACAAACTACTCCTCATTTTTTAAAAACCAAATGTAACCTGAGTGATCTGGACAAAGGGTAATAAGGCAATTAGGATTTAGCAGAGTGCATACAGCTGCATACATTTGTACATTGGGTCACTGACTCAGAGCCCACTGGATGGCACCAACTTGACGGCACCTGGCAACAACAACTACAGCAACCCATATCTTTAGGAAAGCATAGGGAATAAGAAAGAACTATACTGTCTTCCCATTCAGAATACAGGGACCCTTCTCTCCTCTCAGCCTTTACAAAAAAAAAAAAAAAAAAAAAGCCTCCAAAATGGCTATCATCCTGTATAGTTAAAGTTGTGATTTTTCAAGTATATTTATATCCATGAATCTATTGGCTTGAATACAGTCAAGAGGAAAATAGCTATGTAGTACAAGGCAGAATGCTGGATGAAAATAAAGTTCATAGCAGTAAAAAAAATCTAGTAAAGCTTGCCTCAGGAATAAAAAGTTTTGTTTTTTTTTTAATCCAAGTTCAAAATCAAGGAGTCAAGACATGCTTCTCAAAAGGCACAATCCTAAAGAGAAATGGAGTTCTGATACATGATATATGTATGACGTGAGGAACCTTGAAAACACTATGTTCAGTGAAATAAGCCAGACACAAAAGGACAAGCATTATATGATCCCACTCCCCTGAACTATCCAGAGGAGGCAAAAGCATAGAGACCAAAGTAAATTAGAGGTCACCAGGGTCTGGGGAAGGAGGAAATGGGGAGCTACTGTTGAACGGATACAGAGTTTCTGTTTGGGGTGATGAAATAGTGGTGATACTTGCACACACCTCCCAGGAAAAAAAAAAAAAGAACACTAACTCTTTTTAACCAAAATTTTCATGAGCCTCAAATCTATATAGCTATCTTCTTTCTGTAATTTTTGATTTAGAAACTCAACAGGCAGCTCCCTATTAACATGTACAAAACTGGGAAGCAGCAGCATTTAGCCAACAAGCACTGTATTTACAGATGGGCAATTTGGACACCAGTGCTGGCTCAGCTACTTACTATCTGATGCATTGTACCATGTCTCTGAGGAGCTCTAGTGGCGTCGTGCCTAAGACATTTGACTGCTAACCAGAAGTTGGTGGTTCAAACCTACTAGCTGCTTTGCAGAAGAAAGATGGCGCAATCTACTTCCGTAAAGGTTTACAGCCTCAGAAACCCAAAGGGGGTCGCTGTGAGTTGGAATCAACTTGATGGCAGTGAGTTTGGTTTGGTTTATCATGCATCTGAGCCAAAAATTTGAAAAACTGGGATGATACCCTTGAAAGTTTTTATGCAGATTAATTGGAAATACACATAGATATATAGAGAGCCAGGTAGACAGAAAACTACCAAGCACACAGGGAATACTGAAATGTAATTTCTAACCCATTCTACTCAAACCAAACCAAACTCACTACCATCAAGTCAATTCTGACTCATAGTGACCCCATTGAGTTTCCAAGGTGGTAAATCTTTATGGACGCAGATTGCCTCATCTTCTTTGGAACAGCTGGTAGGTTCAAACCACTGACCTTTTGGTTACCAGCCAACTGCCTTAATCACTTCTCCCCTAAAACGTGCTGTTTCCATTTTCTCTTCAGCTATGCCTGATGGCACTTCATGCATCTAAGCCAGAATTCCTAAAGTCTTCCTCTTCCTCCAATCCCAAATCCAGCTGTTTAATCCTATGGATTGCTTCTTCTCATTCTCTCTTTCCCATACATGTCCTCATGACTTCTTACCTAGACCAGTGCAGCCAACTAAATGAGCTTCTGGCCAGCCCACCCTCCACCCCACGATCAGTGTGACTAAAACTCAGATTTAACCAAGACACTATCTGAGCTCTTTACACCCCTTCAGAGGTTCCTCACCATTAGTGATGGGGTGAGGTCTATGTTTTGAATTCAGAGGGGTAAACAGGACCCCTTGAGATCTGCTTTTTCAGGTACTCCATTATATCATTTGACAAAACCAATTTTTTTGGCTGAAAGTACAGCCCACTTGCTATTTTATACACTTCGGCCTTTGCACCAGCAATCTTGTGGCCTGGTATGCCCTATTCACCCCACCTCTGAGTTCTCTTCCTAAGTTCTACCAGCATCCTTCTCTGGGAAGTCTGAATTAGGGTCACTCCAGCCTCTAAAACATGTTTTTCATTGGTACTTCCACAGCACCTTCTTACAATCCATCTTCCTGTAGTGAGATTTTTTATTTAACTGCATCCCTTAAACCATGAACTCCTTGAATGGTAGGCATGATGCTGTAGACACACTACTCTCAGCACCTAAGTCAGCACCTGAGACTTAGTAGATGTACTAGTGCAAAGAACCTCCTGGTCACTCGGGAAGAACTGAGGGGGGGGGTCAGGATGCCTAGCCAGGTACCACCTCAGATAAGGTCCATGTCACCACTGCCATGTACTATCCATTTCTTCCCCCACAAGGAGACAGCCTCCTCCCTTCCTCAGATTCTGTCCCCAGTGCTTACAAGTAGGACACCTTCTTGCCTGGAAAAATAGGCCCTCAGGTTGATAGATCAGTCTCCTGGGCTTTCTAGATCCTTGAGAGGGAGAGGGTAACACAGGATCCTTATAACCAACACAGTCCACAAAGTCCAGGCTGGTTGAAAGCTGAGCCCACAGAACAACCCCCAGGGCAAAGGTCCTGGCTTTTTGCCCAGAGAGCTCGTCTTCAAGTCCCCCCAACACACACACACACACACACACACACACACACACTTTGCCCCAGACATGAAGCCAGGTGTACAGTAACAGCGCCCAGCCTGGCTGTGGAATCTCTTTCCCTACATTAGGAAGGTTCAGCTTTATTTCCCAACCTGATTCAGCTCTATTTCCCAACCCCTGTAATCAATCCTTGTTAGAGTGATAACTGCAAAGACCAGGTATGCAAAAGGTCCAAGGAGGACAGGAGATTAGAGCTGATCCTGCTGAGATTTTGTCCAGAGATCACCAGACTTTGTCCAGAGCTAACACTTTATCTTCTTGGGTACAGATTTTATAATTGTGTGTTCCAATAAGGAAGACACAACCAGGATTTTTTTTTTTTTTTTTCAAGAACAGAGAATGTACTGAAAGTAATAGGTATATTATTTGTGAAACAGAGTTTTATGTAATGTGTATTCAGGGCTAGAATGTAAAATGTCATTTTTTATTGAGCTTCACCATCCAAAAGGAAAGAAATACTGCTACAGTGGATAGATCAGTATAAGCAATATTCCCCCTTGGGTTGGCCAGTATTTCTGGACTGGACGGGCTAAGGAGGGTGAGAAATACAGCAGGAAGCATCAGTTTCCAAGAGTGGCATCTGCCTACACTTGGCAGTTACTCATTCGGGAAGGCCATTTTCTCTCAGTCTTTCACCACTGCTCACCTAGAAAGCAAGACCGAAATTGCTTTCTACCTCCTCCACTATACCCTCGTAAAAAAGTAGGGGCTTAAACAGAGGCAGCAGAATTCTTAACAAGATTTTAAGACAGCATAGTATTGCAGAACTCCAGGAAATTTCTCAATTGGAACGAATCTGCAGTTTCTACTCCAACAGACCCTGACAGGAAAAGAAGGATGAGCGTAACCTTTGAATCCTGGTGATCACAGGCAAAGCTAGTTTCCTATTTCTGAGCATATATGCTCAGTATGCTACAATACCAGCTCCATTTGCATATTCACAACTGTTTACATTTCTGAGCTCCTTGCTAGACTCTCAGCCTGAGTGCTGCTCTTTTTCACTTTTGAGCTCCTCCAGCATCCACCTGACCCACAAAAGGCCTAGTGTCTCTATAAAGACTCAGGGTCTATCACTTAATAGGTCGGTGTGCAGTTGCATTAATTTTACCCACTCTTCCTCAACACATACCTTATATTCATATCTATCTATCTATCTATCTATCTATCTGTCTATCAATAGATAGATAGATATGTTTAAACTGTTCTCAAGATTCAAAACTGTTTTCTGAAAAAATGACAAATAATCCATCATAAAGCCAACAACCCACATACTTATTTACGTTCAGTACAGCATGTGTAGTTCTAAAGCTGAAATCTCTTCATTCTCAGCAGATTGAACTGCTTAGCCATTGTTTACATCAATTATAATCAGATCTCACTGATAGAGTTGATCTCCTGAGGGGAAGATTTAGGAAGGGTGAAGTACTCCTCCATATTACCCAGCTTCACATTTGTCACAGAAGAACACCCAGCTCTCCCAAATTCAACCGCAGTCACCAGAAGGTCTTTCCCAGATGAAAGCAAAGCTGACCTTCTTCTACATGCATTAATTACAGCTAGCAAGGCTGCACCCATGCTGACTTTCCTGAAGGAGACTAAGCAGCATGCAGTTGGCGCTCACTCATCTGGTTTGCACTGTGTCTTATTTAAAGCACATATTCTGGTTTCTGAATTCAAAAGGCAGGGAAGGGATGGAGAGAAGCCCACAAGCTGCCCAGTCTACTGAAAGAAAATGCTGGGCCTTTCAGGAAACAAAGCGATCGCAGTAATGAATGCAAAGCTCAGCAACCATCCACACAGACAGCTGTGGGCACAGGCTCCTTTGTGTGCCTGCCGCGTGGCTCAGCGACTGGCCAACAGCCTGGAAACTCGAGGGTTGTCCCTGTTTGGGGCCAGATTCATTGTGT